ACTCGATAACGGCGGCAATCGCTCAGTGATGTTTTATGATAGCGATGAATTTGGATGTGCTCAAGACAACAATAGTATCATAACCTCAGCCTCAGTATTACCTATGAACGATATCTATGCTGGATCATCATTATCCACTCTGTCATCGTCATCGAATGCCGACGGCTATCATTCGGTGGCATTCGAGAGTGCTCACGACGACGTTAATGACGATTCCAGCGATCAGGCATATTGCACGTCATCTGGTGCAATGTTTCTGGACACAGCCGAAACGGGTGATTGTACAAATGAACTCATGCAAACAGCAGCTGATAACCGTCAGTTTTTCCACGCAGATGGCGATGAGTTTTATGGCGGCGACGAACTTGTTGTGAGCGACGTTAACGGTGAACGTGGCTTTTGCTCACAGCAATCAGATGGTAATGACTTGGGAGGTAGTGAAAGTTTTAGTAGGGATAGTTTAGTAGAGAAACTTGCGGTGGATGGTGGGCTGGATGAACGGATTAGTTTCACTGAACATGATGAAGCACCACCAAAACAACGCCGACGACGACATTTCATTGTTACGAAGAGAGCATTTCGACATGGCNTGATGAAGCACCACCAAAACAACGCCGACGACGACATTTCATTGTTACGAAGAGAGCATTTCGACATGGCACAACATTCAGCGGGTTACGACAGAAAGGTAAATGGCGTTGTGGTTTCCAGTTGGTTCGAGTTCATTGGAAAGCGTTTATAAGTGTTTTGGAATCTTTTTGGAAATTTTTTGATTTGTTGACATCGTTACACACTTTCTTGTCAACTCATTCATTGTTTTGAATGAGTGAATTGCGAGCGATCACAATGCTAAGTTTATAGTCTAATTGTAAGAGGAAATGATACAATTGTATGCCCGTTTGTTTAGCATCGCCTCATTATTTCACCGAATCCTTCTGGTTTTGAACTTGAACTCTTATCTTCGATGCAATAATGATGTGCCGTTGATTGCACATTCGCTTAAACTTTGAGTTGTTATCGTTAGTTTGATCGTGTTTATAGTGGACGCAGAAGAAGAGGAGTTGGAAAGGGCTGCAGATCGTTTGAGTGAAGCATTCAGATCGGTGCCATCGAGAAGTTCGTTATTTTTATTACATTTTGCCAGTCTTAACGTCAGTCCTATCGATTGTGAACTGTTCTGTTCGTGCTGGNTTTTACTTATGATTTTATATTGGTAATTGTGTAGGATGGAAAACTTTAGGCAGGTGTAGCTAAGACTTTTGACGATTCTATATGACGTCCGATCTAAGGACTTGATAAAGTGATTTTTAGTGAAAGTGACGGATTCAGTTTTCTCATCAGTGTTGTGGTTGACTAAATGACAACCGAATACATTCATTGTTATGGGAAATTTTCAGGTAGGCTGCCGAAATACCTGAACCGTCCACAAGAACATCAGGCATATGCGGCGTTTCATAATCACGGCTCACCATTCGCTGTAAAATCGCTCTCTCAACCTAGAGTTCTCGTGCCAGCCAAGTGTGTCTTAGTTCGAAGGCATCATCAGCCTGTGGTATGCATATGTTCCTTTTTCGTATCATTATCATATTTTATAGTCTTACTGCTATATTTATCATCTTTATTATCAGCATTTCAATTACTCTCCCAAACCGTTGAATACGTAGACGGAGGCATTTGTGAGCATCGGAAAGCTATCAGATTACAGTCAAAATTTGTTAGTATTTGATGGCGTTGAGTGAGTCATAAAACAACGAGAAGTTTCAGTTCTAATCAGTTTTATTGAATGTTCAATTGCAGAACGATTTGTATCTGAACAGTGTGGATGATGGGAGTGCAGTGCTCCGGACGAATGGCGTCTACTCTGCTAGTC